TACGTATGTTCTGTAGTACATGTGCTTGTGGATGTGTGAGAGCTTCTTTGTTGGCACTCAAAGCTGACTGAAGAAGTCAGGAAAAGAAGCGACAATAAAGAACACACCAGATGCCATATTTGCAACTGAAAATATTTCGCGAGAAATCATTTCTCGCCTATCTCGCTGCGCTCCGCCGGCGAGACATACAACTTCTTTGTTGGCACAATGAATGTGATGCGTGCGTGCAAGGGGCAAACTGCTTCCAGAGGCCGTCTGCTTGTACAGTTGTAAAAAGAAAAAGTTAACCGGATTCGCGGCCGCATCACCTGACCTGTTCAAGAACATATCAAGCTAACAGTTGTGCTCGGTGAGATCCGACCCGAAGTGCACATTTGGTGCCACCAACTTAATTGCGCGGCCCTTGACGTCCTGGGAGACGTACGAATGCGGCTGGACGTACGCATGTACACGTGCAGTGCTGTAATCGGAACTGGTCCAGGGCGTCTGTTTTCTGGCCTTTGGGTCAGATTTCAGTGGGCGCAACACTCTGCAGTGCTGTTCAATGAGTCGCGGTGTCACTCAAGTTTGCGCCTTGCATCATTCCGCAGCCCAGTGTTCGCAGGTCTCGGGCTGCGCAACGCCGGGCGGGTACAGTCAGACCTCGCATAACTACACACGTCCGCTTTCCAGAAAAATGTCCGGATAGGCGAGGTCTGACTGTACTTGAGTGACGCGACTGCATTTCATTGAGCTGTGCTGTAGTTAGACATCACACATGAACAGGGTATGTTGTTCTATTGTGGATCTGCAGAAAAGCCCAAAGGGTGTGGACAACTTTGACAAGGAGTTCATCTCGACGCTGACGACGAAGAACACACCATGCGACACGACCGTAATCAATCAGCTCAAGCAGACGGAGTTCTTCGGCTTCACGTACGTCAACCTGGACTTCTTCGACGAGGAGCAGGAGCAGGAGGCGCGCGGCCGCAGTGGCGACACCGTCGTTGCAGCGATCACCCGCCGCATTTCCGGCAGCGACTCGGACCAGGCGTTCTCGCCCACCAGCCCCCTGGAGCCGCTCAGGGAGGAGAGTGGCGCCGCCGCCTCCAACACCACTGACGCCACTGCTGCTGCTGCTGCTACCTAGCGCGTTGGCCTGGCGTGCTGCTGTTTCACGGCCGTGTATATCATACAATGCCTGCCATGTTCGTGTGACTCTGTGCTGGCGTGTGGGGTACATTCCTCCGCGCTCGCATCGCTTCAAGAACCATTTCCTGGGACATCATGCATTTGCAGTCGGTCCGACTAGCCGTTCCACTCCTATTATTATATTGCTCAATTTCCCACTGGTATGCCTACTGCCAGTAGTAGTAGTAACTTATCATTAGATTAGTACTAGCTGTTGTCATTGTAATATTTGTACTAGCTGCTGGTATCCATTGTACTGCCTGTTGGCATGGTATTATGTGTACTGGCTGTTGTCATGGTAGCATTTGAAGTGCTCCGGTTAATGTTTTTGCTCGGCATGTTGCTGCTTCGGCTGCACCTACTATTGCCGCCACACGCCCTTTCCTGAAGTTGCCGAGAGCCCTGCATCGGAATTCCTAGTGCCGATTTTTATTTGGAACACACTGCTAGCACTGCGGAGCATTGCATCTTTCGTTTTGTTTTTGTTTTCATGACGTCGGCGTGTCCTACAAGGAATTTCTAACGCCTTGCATGCCGTGGTACACCGGTGATGAATTGCCGTTAGCTGTCAACTTGAGATCTCACAGTAAACGATTTTGCAGGTCAAATGAATTGTTCCGGTTGCGGTTCTGTGGTTAACTTCAATGCTGTAAAATTGTTTTAAAAAAATTGTTTCATTCCTGCCATTTCAAAATTCCTTGCTCTGCACTTGTATTGTGGTGGTGCACTGTACTAGAGTATAACCTGTAACTAAGGTCATGGTAAAAAACAAAGTTGAGTCTCAGGTCCTGAGCCTGTGAAAATCGGTGCGAGCGAGCGATTTTTTATTTTATTTCCCACAATTTTTGTATTGTTTCCAAAGATAGGGTCACACATACATGTACATGTAATGTACATGTACATGGTCACATGTTCATAATATTCAGGCCAGGGAGTAGAAAAATACCGGTATTTTACTACTCCCCGATTCATGCCTTTTGCATTGACCGTTTCATGCATATGCAAGCTTAGAAATTGAAAAAAATCGCCGGTGCGCCGCCAAAAATCGGTGCGCGCGTACTTGAGAATCAAAGATAATTGTTACCATGGCCTAACGTCGAGTAACGACAAACAGCCCTGTTTACTTCCCTTTGTGTACATGTACCTGTCTTGCCTCTGTGGTTAGAGGTTTGCGCCGCACAGCCATGTACATGTACATGTACTAGGGACCGGCGGATTCTGCTCGAAAAGGTGGCAGATTCTGCTCGAAAAGCAGTGAAATTGGCAGAACCATACAAACCTTATGACGGGCAATTCCTAGAATTCTGCTCCATTTCTTTATCCACATACCAAACATGCATGAAACGTACCAGAAAAAGTACCGAATTCTGACAATTTTTCTGCCGGCAGAATCCGCCGGACCCTAACATGTACATGTCTGAATGTGAGACTGTCCGAGCCTGGCGAAGTGGCCTGTAGCTGTACACACTGTACCACTACCACAGTACCGGGCTGGTCGGCGGTCGCTATGTTTTTGTTGTTGTTGTTTTTTTTTACTATTATTCACAAACCCAACTCGTAAAATAAATAATTATGTTTTAATACAAAAACAAACAGCTAGCTACTGAGTAGGGGCTGCACTGCCACTGGGCAGCGGTGCATGATGGTGACGTACCAGGTCCAGGGACTCCACCGACCACGGACTTAGTTACAGGTTTTACTGTATTGTAAACTCCTTGCCAGTACAGTGTCAAGCCCAGCAAACAACTGCTCTGTTTGCGTGGCCAGTGAGATCCAGGGTAGGTATAGCTATAGGGCAGAGCGGATGTGTCATGTGCAAATAATTATTTTAATCTTTATTTGTTTAAATTCTCGCTGTGGCCGTAGCCAAAATACGAGGGGTAGTAATTTTACGTAATATTGTGCAAAGCAGGCTGTGGCAGGCAGGATGTGAGTTATGCGTGACTGATAGAGAATACAATAGAGAGGTTAAATTAAAGATGCGCGTTATTTCTGATGACAGTGATGTGACGCAAAAGTTTAGCTCGCGATATTTGGCTCGCGTCATCGAAAAACAACGCGAGTTACCTGCTGCTCACATCGAAATTTGGAGTTTAACTCCAAATTTGACGTGAACATACATGTATTATTAACCTCTCTATTAAGATGCGCGTTATTTTCGACGTGACGCGCAATTTCACGTCAAATTTGGCGTAAAACTCCAAATTTCGACGTGAGCTGCAGGTCACTCGCGTTGTTTTTCGACGCGCGAGTCAAATAACGCGAGCTGAACTTTCGCGTCATGTCAGAAATAACGTGCATCTTTAATAGGGTGCGTTGGAATTGTCACTCTTTGACTTTTCGAGGAGTTTCGTTTTTCTGAAGAGGTGCCTCATTGGCCTCTTCAGAAAACGAAACTCCTCGAAATTCCACAACCTCATCCGATGGGAGAGGTGAATTAGTTGCGAAGAGTTTGGAATAGCTACGTCATGTGTGCGTCGAGATTGTAGATCCGATCGGATGTCATTATCGCCATGACAATTCCACTGAAAAACTCTAAAATGATAGAAACCGTTCTATAGGGGCACTTCAACTAATCTCCTTTAAAAAATTGTTTGAACGGTAATGTTGATGAAGACTATTCGAACATGCCCTTAACCTCTCTAATGTGTCAGCACGCCTTGTCAATTGTGTGCTAAATTGTTCAAGATTATGGTTTAGTTGGTGGCCTTTAGCGCTATCGAGCAGCGCTCAAGCTGTCTTTCATGCCCTGGAATGTCTCAGTACTCCTTGTCAGTTTTCTGCTAAATTGTGCACGTCTGACTGTTCAAGATCTGATTTAGTCCGTGCACTCTTTGAAGTGCTGTCTCGATCTTGAGCAAGGGAAAGTCCCTTTGGGACTGGCATTACACTGTCATAATCGAAGCTCCGATATACTACAGTTGTATGCAAGCCCAGCCAAGCCAGGGATTGTTACTTCAGAATTCTAAAAGTAACTATTACTTAGTTCAGAGCAGAGCCTACACGCTCTCTTCCATTGAGACTGCAATAGTTCTGTTCAACTCATTTCACAATAATCATTCCAACGTTTCGGCAAATTGCCTTCATCAGGTTCGTGAACCTGATGAAGGCAATTTGCCGAAACGTCGGAATGATTATTGTGATATGAGTTGAACTATTGCAGTGTCAATGGAAGAGAGCGTGTAGGCTCTACTCTGAACTGTTTATACGTGGCCAAGAACGCAAATGATGCGAGCGTCGAGACTGTGCAATCAGGTCACGAAGACTGGTAGATCTACACTTGACGTTTGAAGGTCACCGAACAGCGGACCATTTACTTAGGACAAGCTCCGCAAAGGGCTCGATAACCTCAAACGTCTTCGATGGAGTCGACCAGAGGGCAGAGGCCACCTTTCCCAACCCCGGTCAATGATAAAGAATTTATTATGATTGTACAGTACAGTAAGATCGGGCGCCGAAGAACACCTCGCCGAAGAACACCCAGGCTGGAAAACCGGCAAAATTTAAGAACAGTCCAGGCTAGAATTATCAGATTTAAGAACACTAGATCTACATTGTACGTAGATCTACATTGTACATGTATGGGAGGTGAGTGTCATGTACACGTGTAAACAGTAACTGCTACATGTACAGTCATTCCCATTTACGACACCCACTAGTTTAGAAGTACTACACTTGTACATTGCACTACCACGTGTGTACATGACAAACGTCATGACGTCACTCGACTCGCCGCGCGCGTGTGAATAAGAACGGTCTGGCTAAGAACTTACTTTCCTAGGCTGCGCTCGAGCCCCTGCGTTCTTCGGTGCCCGATCTTACTGTAGACGGTCTGAAGTCCTGGTTTCAAGCCCAGAGTTGAACAGCAGTGCGGATTCGCATTTCCGGCTGCGTCCGAATATATGTGCGACCGGTCCAAAATGTTCCCACTCGACTCCATGCCAAGGCTAAAGAGTGACTGCAAAACCGGGGACAGGCTCGATAGCCAGAAACAGTGATTTCCGCAGCTTTTCCTTCTGATTTTTTCTGACGGATTCGTTTGAACGGCTCCTGTTTGCTCAGCTGGACATAATCATGATAATCATTGAGAACTTTCCGTTGACTTGTAGTGTTGGGATAAGGACACCCTGGGTAGATCTACTGACTGTCTCGGATTGGGCTACCGGTAGCAGCAGTTGGTTGCATCTCGTCGCGGAGTCGCCAAGGCCGTAAGGCTCTGCTCGTAGAATCTGGTCACTAGTCTGTACGTGTGTCAGTCACAGCCTAGCTACTGTGAATTATGAAGTGAGTGTTGGCGCCTCCAATGCCGGCAATGGCTTCGTTTCATTCAAATCCCGAAGTAGCTGATGTTGATGTTGAAGAGCAGCGGTCCATCCTGCACCACGCGCTCTCCTCGGATTTCCAGTTTGTCCGAGTGTTAGCCCATGGCTCTCAGGGTAGCGTATTCGCTGTGCGGTGCACGCTGGGCGGACTGCCGCCTAATAAATTATACGCGCTCAAGTTGTTCTACCACTATAAACGAAGTTGGAGTTCGGCCGCATTCAGGTCGACTGGCGGTCGGTCGCCCATCCCTGCAATCGACGACATTAGCAGGCCTACCTATATTCGAGAGCATGAGTGGGTGAAACGTAGTCGAGTCCTGAGGCACAAGAATGTCGTTGGTATTTTGACGTGGTTTGAGGATATCATTGAGGATGAGCTGTGGGAGCAGCTACCTGAGCATGTGAAGGGTGCTATAGATAAGTCAGCGTCTGCTCGCAGTGGTCGCCGTGCCCAGTTTGTATTGTTTGATCTCCACGAGCAAACAGTTGCGGATTATGTGAAAAGTCGTGGTGACAGACCAGTGCCCTATGCACAGGCCAAGAAATGGTCCATGCAACTGGTGGATGCTGTGTGTTTCTTGAAGGACAAAGGCATAGTGCACTGTGACCTGAAATTGGAACACTTGCTACTCAACAGCAATGGCGACATTGTCCTGGCAGGGATTGGTCGTGAAAAGTACCTGGACCTCGAAAACGACTTGCAATACTTTAGCTACGGTTTGGACAACACCCAGCATGCTGCACCGGAGGTTCACAGACAGTCCTACTGCCGGGGATGGTCGGTTGGCGGCGGCTGTTCATGGACTGAGTATGACAGGCAGACCGGCTGGACTGTGGGCGTCCTGATATACGAGTTTGTGATGAAAGCTCATCCGCTACCTGACTATCCAGGCGCATACAGAAATGGTCACGAGGTGATGTACAACATGGAACATGTCGACATCAAACCATTACCCAGTGAGTACGTAACTGAATTCAACACGCTAGTGATGACATTGCTGGAACCGGACCCAGACAAACGTCCCATCCTCACTGACACTCGACTATGCCTGGAAGCACTTCACACCGGTTCAGCAGATCACCTGCTCCAAGAAGTACCAAGGGCGCACCAGGAGCATGAACAGCTCAAGGAAAGCACCAGCAAGCTACGTGAGGAGAAGTGTGTTCTGGAGAATCGTCTCCATGGTTACGACAGCGACGAAAGGGAACTCAAAGAGCGTCTCAGAGTGCTCGAAGAAGCAATCGCCAAACTTGAGGAGCAGAGTGCAAACCTGAATGTTCTCTTGTGGAAACATGAGAGGACGCCACTAGTCACTGTTGTGCAAGAGATTGCAGAGCGGCGCAGCAAACTGCGGGAACGCCTTACTGCTCTCAACACGGAGGACACGCAGGATGTTGCATCCACATGGCTACTCTGCTCGGATGTGGAGACGTTGCTGAAGGTCATGGAGACGGCGATGGCGCGAGTCAACGAGCTACACGTGCTTCGGGAGAGACTGCCGATACCTTCGTTTCATGATTATGCTAGGGGCCTTAATTCCTGTTCGTCTCGAGGTAAGGAGATGCCGTATTTCTTCATTTTATCAAGTATTTTTGATGGAAATTCTATAATAGCCGAGGCCATTACGTGAAGTACAGTGACATCCTTCTACTTGATGTATGGTGATTCAAGCCTCCAAAATCTAGAGCAAAAAATTCAAAGCAAGGCTTCTAAAAGGGCATGAAAGCGAGGACATGAGAAGTCAAAATGAATTCTGCCGAAAGCAAAGTTAATCAGTAAACACCTGTGTTTGTCGGACTCTATACCAAGGGGAATCCTGTACAGTCAACTTCGCTAATAACGACTGCGGATATAATGAAAATTTGCGAATAACGACAGAATTTCCATGCCCAGAGCAAAGTCCCATCTAACTGTAATACATATAATGAGACTTCGGGTATAACGGCACTTTGCGAATAAGGACACTTTTCTGATGCCCCGCCGAGTGTCGTTATACGCAAAGTTGACTGTATGACCAGACACATTTTCATGGGCCAGAGTGCAGTACACTCATACGTCCTTTATCAGGGCTGTCTGGGACTGCGCACTGATCGTAACTTCGACATGTCTGTTACTCCGAATCACATACATTTTGATGGGAAAGGCCGTGGATATGGCATGTGACATCACCATTTCCACGAAAAGTGACAAAAGAGTAGTAATATTTCCACTGAAACTCGTCAAAAGAGTAGTAATATTTCTACTAAAACTCGTCCAAAGTGTGCCCGGTAGACTGAAGTGCCCGTAACGTCGGGGTCCGGATAACCAAGGTATGAGTGCCATTGAAAATTCACCGCAACAAGCGGACCCCAATCAAACGCGGGATGCGGGAAAGATTTTTTTGAACTCTCAAGTTTACCTGTGACAAACAACTTATACAGTAATCGCTCCACTCTGGGGAATCGTGTGTTGCTCCCTACATGGAAGCTCGCGCTTTTTCTGCCGACTCACTTGACTGACTCACGACTGCCAGCCAGAGCACACGAGAAGTCCATCGAACCTTCCACTCGGCAAACCTGCAAGAAAGCACCACTCCCTGCTCAACACACAGTGTTGAGCTTGAATAGGCTGAGGAAGATTGTATAAAGAGCAAAACTTATAGTGCTCTCCAGACCAAACCATCACCAGTGATACAAACTTACAGAGACACTTCGTTTCAGCACGACAAGCATCTCATGAACACCAGATAGCAGCATGAGGCAGTATCGCTCATGGAGGTGCTGGACAAATGCCGAGGGTCGTTGGCCATTCGCAACGTCGTTGCCTACAAACAATCTAATTCTCAAGCCTGCGCTGGGGACACCATTGTGAAGAAGAGATTGGTGCGACTTCGGCGATACTTAGGGAATTGTGCGTTGCTCCGTACATGGGAGCTTGCGGTTTTCCTGCCGACTTGAATTGTCACTTGACTGACTCACAGCTACCATCGTGAGCACACAAGAATGGTGCTTTCTTGCCGGTGTTCCTGCCGTTCTATGTATCGATGGTAGTCCCCAGTTCGTTTGTTATGGCATATTGGAAGGAGTTTGATTCCTCCTGGCTATCCAAGGCGACAACCCTTGATGAGAATGCCATGCCATCTGATGATGCAGTCGCAAACACATCGCCAACTCGTCGCTCATTGCAGCAGCTCCGCATCGGCACTCACGTGGACATTCAGCACCCGCGCACCAAACAGTGGTCTATGCGTGGGATCGTTGTTGCTGTCGGTAGTCATCGGGATTATCTAGTGAAGCTGGCTAGTGGTCGAATTTACTGGCAGAACCGCAGATTCCTGCGTCCGTATCGCCCACTTGTGCCTGCATCGTTGGTTGTCCTGCCGGCTGCTGCTGCCGCCTCTTCCCTGCCGCCACCGCCTCAGCACCCGTTAGCGCAAGCCACACCAGTGTTTAAACGTTGGTTCACATCATGGACAGTCCTATGATTAACATTTCTGATCACTACTGTCAATTTCTGCTGCCTTGGCTTTGTTGTTTTCATTCTTCATTTTTGTTTTATTTATGGTACGTGTTGCTGTCACATGTTTCGCAACATCTCGAAGGGGCGTGATGTGCATCTACTCATTACGTCATATTTGTATTACTTTGCATGCACGCACGCACTCACACACACACACACACACATACACACACACACACACACACACACACACACACATACACCCCCCCCCCCCCTTGGACACCCATCGCCAGAGGCGATGATAGCGATGCTACAGCAGAAGCCATAGCAGCTTGTGCTAGGATTGCACCATTCAACAGCTTGCAAGGCTGAAGAATTGACCGCCACTATTCAGCCTGGTCTACACCACACAGCTATGAAGTGGCTTTTTCTGGCCAGCTCACATACACACACACACACACACACACACACACACACACACACACACACACACACACACACGCGCGCGCACACACACACACACACACACACACACACACACACACACACGTATTAGGAATCTGGTTCTCCTGTTGAGTGTGCTTCTTCTTCCTGTTTTTTTTTCTCCCAAGTCTTCTTCTTTTTCTTCTTCATCATCAAATAAATAGTAACATATCAGTTTGCGCTGCACCAAGGGCGTGCGTGCGGTGATCGCAGGTTTTACTGTAAAGGATGTGGTGTGTAGCCCTTCCCCAAAGATGCTCGCCACTTTTTTCGCAACTTTTTGTTGTTTAGGAAGAAATCGCAACTTTCGCAATTTTCGCAACTTTCGCAATTTTCGTGAACTATTTCGCAACTTTTCCGCAACCTTGGCGCAATAGGGCTTGAAAGTGCTACGTCACAGCATAGCAACAATTTCAAAAATTCAAAAACTGGATCCACTTGGATCCAGTTTTTGTATGGATCCAAGCACATTTCAAGCGGTCTTACTCACAGCAAGGTGATGTAGCCAGTGAAACTGACTGCCTTGGCTACTGGGGGAGGGTTGACAACTGGTGGCGAAGTAAAAGTCACACCTGCATACGACATGAGTGGGTTGCTATGCACCCACATACTGAGGCAATAGCGAAGTCACACCTTAGTGGATCCAAAATAGAAATCTGATGTCAACTTACTACTCCTTGGCCGTTTTTGACGTCATCACTTTCAAGCCCAATTGAGTCTGAATTGACCCCATGGCATGGGGTCAAAAGGTCTAGTCACCGACTCACCGACTACATGTCGGACAAATGCATACTCGTACTCGCTCATTTCTCACCTGCCTTCAGACTGATTTCAGAGAAACAGTAGATCAACGGTAGTTATGATAATGTGCATTCCCTTGCACTGGAATGATGTAGATCTACATGATGTAGGATACATGTACATGCAACAGGCTACTGGCACTGTGTAAAGTGGTGTAGGAAAGGATGTAGATGTACGAGTTTGCTGTCGCTGCACTTCTCCCTTTTTTGTAAGTTTTTGCACAAGACCTCTCCAATTTTAGGTTGCGATATTAGCAACTTTTGAGCTTTTTCTGAAAATATGGATGCGATTTCAGCAACTAGCACTTGTTTTGGCACGGTTGCGAAAAGCATAAGTTGCGAAAAATTATGGCATCTTTGGGAAGCCAAAAGACAGGCACAGTGGGTTGGTCAAAGACCATGATTGAGATACGAGAGGTACCTGGTTCAAGTCCTGCCTGGGAGCGGTTTTTCCAGCCGTGCTGCTACCCACAGTCAACTGGGAACTTGTGGCCAGGCACAAGGGGTACATGGATGCAGCTAATGGGGTCGTTTTCGGCACTTGTGCCAGTGGTTGTGAGACTTACCCACTCACCCCCACCGTTAGGCGCTGCATCTGCCGCTAGGGTTTATCGGGTGTTAGCGGCCGTCGTGAGTTCCCTTCGGGGACGGATACGATAATTTACTTACTTACTTTGGGAAGCGAATCACATTTAAAAAATGCGAATGTTCAAATTGCCAGGAGCATAATCATTCGCAATTACGGCATTCTACTGCCCAACAAGTTTCGGTAAAAACTCACCCCATTGTCACTTGACCAGCTGGTTTTTTGGTCGAAGCAAAATATCACCTTTTAGCTTGCATTTATCTTGTGTACTTGAATAAAGTCCGGCAAGGTAGATCGAACAACAAAATAGCAGTAATTGATCTCAATGCTGGTCTCTGATTTCCGTTGTGTTTCTGCATGCTCATATCATCCCTGTGCTTAGGTGTTTCACGGCCAATCCCTGCGTGGTGGGTAAGCTCTGTCGTATGTAGCTGGTGCTCTGATTCTCCTCCTCAGAGATGCCAGTGGCTATTGTTGTTGTCCATGAACACTTGATTTAGTTGTGGTGGTGGTGGTGGCGACTGTGGTGGTGGTTGGTGGCGATGACGGAGTGCCGGTGATGTACGGAAAGTGGTCCTTATGCATATTGTACAGATGTACGGAGTTCTGTACTCCAGTCAGTTTCAGAAAGATTAACAATCCTGGCGATCGCCCGGGGAGTTTGCCGTCTTACCGTATGAGCGCTCGAACGCTGCCTGGAAAATCTCACTGTGAACTCGAAGAACTATTCCGCGTGAAAGCATGAAAAATGAGAACTCACTCACGGCGGTACGTGTACGTCTGGTTTACAACAAACGAGTCCTAGGCTGTGTTTACATGAGGCGTTTCAACCCGGGTTGAGTTCGACCCGGGTCAGATTTCAACCCGCCATGTACACAAAATGAATGGCCATTTACATGACGCATTGCGCTTGACCCGGGGTTAAATTTCGCCCAAGGGGAGGGTTGAAATCAACCCGGGTCGAAGAAATTGTACTAACGTACATGTAGCTACAGCGCAATGACTTCCGTATTCACTCACACCGTTTCAGTGTTGTGGGTGTGTTCACATGGCGTGAGCCAGTCAAGTGTCAGTCAGTTCGGCAGGAAGCGCGAGCTCCAACAATAACAAGTCGTTTGGCGCAGCCACCTTCTTTGTCTTGCACGATCAGCAAACCATTGGAAAAAAGTTTGACTTGAACATAGGTTGGGATTTGAACTCACAACTTCATGGTCAGCAGACAGTATTCGTATCCACAAAGCCATAAAGGAAAGAATAAATCGTGGGTTTTGTTAAATAATCGATACTGGTTTCCAGGGCTAATTGTAAACCATGGGAAAGGGCCAGAAACCTGGCCGAAATTCTAATTCCTTAATAAATGGTTGGTCCAATTGTTCCGAAACCTTCACAGAACAATAATTTGCCGTGCCCTAACAAGCCCTGTTATCTACTTTGTTGTAGAAATTTCCCTTATCTTCATACTTTTTAAGACCACAACCTGATTGCTAATCTTTTTGAAACGGACTATAGGGCTGTAGGCGTGTACATACCCGGGTGGGTGTTCATTTTGTGCGCTATGCATGTGCATTTGACCAATTAAATTATTTAGCCCAGTTATCTATGGCTTTCAAGCTTCATCACTTTGAATGGAACTAGCAACTAGCTAGATCTTTGTCCGAGAAAGGTTTTTGTTTGAAATGCCTTCAGGGCTCGTTTCTTAGTGGAAATAGCAGAAGAAAATTTGGTCATAATACATAATTATACTGAAATTCTTATCAACCACCACACCACACCGTTGCGCTCTCCGGCCGACCTCAACACGTTGCCACAGCACACCATCAGCAAAACGACACTTCAGTTTGTACTCTGCTCCTTCAGACAGGAGCTGTTTCGATCATCAGGATCTCGTCAGTGCAGGTTGATAATGTAGAATGGCTAACAGATATTGAACTTCACCCTTTTGTAGCAAAAAAGGGGGGATCATAATGGCGCATCTTAGGCGCAAAAAAGGGGGGAACATAATGGCACATCTTAGGCACAAAAATTAAGGCGCAAAGATTAAGTCTAAGCAAAGGCGATACTGATAGACTACACTGAGGATACAAGTAATATAAAGGGTGTTAGTGAGAGTACAGTCATGTAGTGATAGCCAGGTGTGACTTCAATAGATGGAACAGCATAGCACGGCAAGTAGCACCGCGAGAGGCCCCTGGGGCATTCACTCCGTTCACTCACTCACCACACCACACAGCACAGTACCTCACTATTGTCACGTCACAGCCATTCTTCAGTTGCCATGATAATGCAGTAGCTTAGCAATGAAAAGACGAAGTGACAAACACATGCTCACAAATTATTATCATTCGAGAGGCCCATGGGGCATTCGCTCGTGACACTGCGCCATGGTTTGATATCCGCCATCTTTTGCATAGGTACGGGAATAAAGTTGAGTGTACTACTCTGCACTGTGCCTATTTATATTGAGTTATTGGATCGAGTATTAATTTGCCAGTAATCCTTCAGATGAGATGGCCTCGAAACGTTCAGGTAACGTACATGTAAATGCGCAGCTCGCTCATTCATTGCGTTAATTTTATCTTAAGATATAATCATTTTTTTAGGGCTGAAACGATTATAGCAATTACTCAGTAACCGATCAATAATTCCTTAAAAAACTCAACTAATCATTACGTTATAGATTACTAAATAATGGGTTTGAGTCCAAAACTGAGTACTGGTTTGAATGAGTTTCCGCTGTGGATATGCAGTTGCCAGGAGTATGGTTCATGTTCTGAGGTTCAATTGACTTCAAAACTACCATGTTTATGAGCTACCCTTCCACTAATGCAGGTTTTTGGTACGATACAGACATAGCTTGTGGAAACAAGCAAATAAATTTTAACACTATTTCAATTTGCTCAGGATTAAAATCGATTAATCGATCTTTAAGCTAAAGAGGAATCGACAGGCCAAAATCCGTGATCATTTCAATCTTTTAAATCGTGTTATTATATCCTATTCTGAAGATCAATAGGAGAACACCTTACATCAGAAATCTGTTCCTCTAAAAGTATTCATTTATTTCTGGTTACCTCTTTACCATTACTCTAGTCTTTGTTGTTTCAACTTGCAACAGAAAACTCGCCAAAATAGGCAGACCGCAGCAAGTCATGATGTCACAATCGACAAAGACAAGCTAGAAGTAAGAGTCAACATGCTTGCTTGTGTGTGGGTATAAAGTTAGGATGGCGTGTGGATGGCGTCCTGATACTGACTGCCTTCACCCTGCCCCTGCCAACTGGGTGGTGGGAACGTAAGTCAGTGGGTTCATATCTTGAAATTCACCCTCCGGTGGACATTTCCGGATTAGCGGAGGGAGGATCGAGTTCGGTCTGTCTGTCCGCCCCCCTGTTCGTCCGTCCGTCTGCTCATGTGTCTGTGTAGCAACCTGACTAATTTGGGTTGTAAGCTGCAATGGCCGACTGTGCAACAAAGAACTTGAGGCCAAAGAGAAAAATTCATTTCCTTGTGCATACGTATATGATTATTGAGTGTGACATAAGGTCCAAGTCACTACTGGTGTGTGTATTTGTGTTTGTCTGTATATTAGTCTGTCTGTGTGTCTGACACAGCAGAAGATAACCAGACTTTACAACAACAGCATGACTTGATCTGGACAATTCTCAACCTTCGACAAAACAGATCATTCTAAAGAAGTTATGCATTTGTGGAAACTTTGACATAAGTCCGAATCAAGTTTTGGGTCATTTACTGTTGTAGGTTGTAGGTTCTTTACAAGATCTTTGCTGGTGTGTGGTTGTATGGAAACACCATTCTTAATCTACATGTATGTCTATATCTGCATGTGTGTACATGCGTTTGTTTGTGTTTTGTGTGTGTGCGTGTGTGTGTGTGTGTGAGTGTGTGTGTGTGTGCGTGTGTGTGTGTGTGTATGTGTGTGTGTGTGTCTGTGCGTGTGTACGTGCCTGTGTGCATGCACGTGCATGCACGTGTGTGTGTGTGTTCGTGCGCGCGCGTGTGTGTGTGTGTGTGTGTGTGTGTGTGTGTGTGTGTGTGTGTGTGCAAATGTGACATTCAGGCTATCAGGATTGCCTTTGCTGAGCTACAGACAGTGCGAAAGGAATGTGCCAAGCAGCAAGACGAGGTTCACAAGCTTCGTAAAGATACTGAAATGTTGTCAGGAAGATGCAAGAGAACCGAGACAGCTTGTCAGACTCTCCGAGCTAAGATTGGTCGCGCGGAAGAGAGAGTTTCCGCTGAGGAACGCCATGTAGCCAAACTCCACGCACGGTTAGCTGAGTACGATGAGAGACCCCTGCATGTGCTGAGCAGAGATGCGGCAGTGATGCGCTCTGACCTATCTCAACTCTGGTCCACTCCAGGTGAGACAAACGTCCAGGCTCGCCATGAACTGGAGGAGCTGTATCGACTGTACGACCTTCGCAAACGCCTAGATCTAGATTTTGATCCTAGTTATCAGGATTGCGATGAATGGAGCAAGCGTGTGGATCGACTAGATTCGCTGGTCAAGACGTCGAGACAGCAGCTGGAGATCTGGAATCCGGAGATGGTCCAAATTCTAGGAGTCCTCACTGAAATGTCGACATCTTTGGTACGTTCTTATCTTTTTAATAATGTTATAATGATCGAACAGTAGGCTCAAGTAATATAATACAAGGTGATATTATAGCAGTGCAACGAGAGAATCAGGAGTCGCAGTAGGGTTTGTAATGCAATGGCAGCAATGCCTGGCAGCAATATTAACTTCACGAAATACGATTCACGAATAATTTGTCGTCTCGGTTGAAGGACGAACTACTTCTACCCTTTCGCCACGCCACACAAACAAAAGGACTAGGAAACTAGTTGTTCTCGTTACCGAGAGAGAGAGAGAGAGAGAGAGAGAGAGAGAGAGAGAGAGAGAGAGAGAGAGAGAGAGAGAGAGAGAGAGAGAGAAAGTTTTTCTAAAACACACTTCAGGAGCCGACGAGAGAACTGACTTCCCACAAGACAAGACAAGGAAATATATTGTGGGGACGTGGCAAAAGTGGGGCGATGGAGACGAAATCTGTGTTCAAAAGTGGGGCGATGGAGACGAAATCTGTGTTCAAAAGTGGGGCGATGGAGACGAAATCTGTGTTCAAAAGTGGGGCGATGGAGACGAAATCTGTGTTCAAAAGTGGGGCGATGGAGACGAAATCTGTGCACATGTATCATACAACTGGTCCCGAACGAGACGGCAGACAAAGACGGCAGACAAAGACGGCAGACGATCAAATACGACGGACACAAGACGGCAACTGGACAAATACAACGGAGACAAGACGATGAAATGCGTATACAACGGGGACAAGACGAGAAAGAGTGCATACGGAGGGGACAGAAGACGGTGCAGCCGCATGTACAGTAAATATCGGATATAACGTGCCCCTTTGATTTTCGAAAATGTATCACTATATCCGGTGCATCACTATAGCCGATTTGCATGTTTGACCGACACATGGCACATGACTGCACATGAAATGATGCGTACACGCTGGAAAAAGCATGCTGAAAGTGCATGCATGCTCCGCGGACTGTGTAGATCTACCTGGTGTACCGGTGCATGACACAGAGCAGTGCATGGCAGTGCAGTACGAGTACAGACTGTACATGTACTAGAACTTCGATACATCATGTGGCATGGCTGCTTCTTCAGCGTGTTCTCCAAAAAAAGCCTGAGCTGGATCCGTGCTCACGTAGATCGTAGATCTACGTACTCGGTGTCCAACGAGTTGCGTAGAGCCAGAAATAGACATGAGTGGCTGTGTACGTGAGTTGGCAACATCATCGTGAGAGGCAACACAGCCAGAAACGGACAAGAGCATGCAGAAAGATCACTCTTGATCATTATATGCGATATTTTCCTGTACATTTGATATGGTTTGCTTCCTGAAGGCCATCACAATAAGCGATATATCGGTATAGCCGATAATAGTGTATATAGTGATATTTTAGCTGTATTTTTTCTGATTTGATTTTGATTTTGACGTTTTCTATCACTATAACCGGTATATCATTATATCCGGTCACTTTATAAACGATACTTACTGTACTAAGCATTTGAAGACAGCGCAGCAGCGTGTACCAGCAAGAGTAGATGAAAAGCAGAGTGTGCAGCTTGGGGCCTTTTCTGCTATGGGTGTCTGTCACGGCGAAATTCCGTGATTACATCACATTTGGCGCAGATCTGAGGCGGGAATTGGCGTAGTTCGTACAACTGAGCTGCAGTTGTGCAGAAGGAGACCTGCTTGAATCCTGCTTGTTCGCACTACATCACTAGAATGATGTAATCACGAATTCTGCCGTGACAGCAACCCATCCGAGCTGCACACTCTGGTTTTCATTTACTCTTGGTACCAGAGATCAGCATCATGTACGACACAGAGACACAAACGCAGCCGCATGTACAACACATAGCTACACGCGCAGCCGCACACAACAATATGGCATAACATAACTCATTGCCGTGATGATGTGCATTCCTTTGATGATTTTCTTCTGGGCATTAACGTTAGCTCAGGTGGTTGAAACCTTTACAACTATTTTTTAAAAGAGTCGACGAGGAGACGAAAGTTTAAAAAAATTGCAATGAAAAAGACAAAGTGCGCAGCCATTCTATGTTATCTACTAATAGTGATACAAACTACTGTATCGACCT